AACGGCACCGTAAATCATTTCAGGCATTTTTTTTTTTTTTGATTGGAACGATTTTCAGCATCGTTATCTCATTTTTGCATCTAACAAGGTTAATTCTGTTTCACTACAGGACTGTGGAGAAACAGCTTGGACTAGTTTCATGCTTTCAACTTATTTAGTTTATCATGATATATTTTATTCTTTACAAATGTTTAACTGTAATCGCTTTAAAAGCTGTTTTTCCCTAAAAATAATTTGTGGTTTGAAACAATTCTAAAAACATTGAAACAGGAAGCCAGTTTTAATAAATCAAAAAGTGCTTATTTTGGTGCTTACTCCATGTTTTTGGGAGTGAATGGATGAACTAAAGCAAAAGGATTGGTGCGCTATCTTCCAAAATCAGCACTGGTGATTCTTTGTTTCATTTTATTGGTCTATAAACAAGTAGACAAGACTCGACAAGTACATTGATCAAGTCTGCTAACTTGCTCTCTGATGCACATCCAGTAGCACACATGGTGCATTTGATAACTGTAGGTAATTAAAAAACACACTGAGAACATCAGAGACTGAGAGTAATCATTATAAATGACCTAATATTTTCCATCTACCTCATTAGTTTTCCAAAGGAGGCTTTTCATTCTTTCACCCCGGAACAATCACTGTTGCATGTAATGACTAATTAGACTGTATCAATGCATGTAGAAGCTCAGTAGAAGAAAACATTCAATATGTTGGAAAAATCCATTTAAAGGTGTTCAACCTATCAAACGACTAGTTCAAAATAGTGAATGTGTGCTCTATGTCTGATCTGACTTCCACTTAGTGAAATCGTGACCGGGGGGCCTTTTCCTGAATTACACGTTTTTCCATTTAGAAATTCTCCCGAAAGGTGCCACACATATGTTGTTCATAAATCTAGGCTCATTCTCTTTTTTTTCAGTCCAGAACATTTATAGCAGCATCAGAAAGCGTAGTAGCCCAAAAGGACAAGACATAATCTCACCGGAGCCTGCTGAACTCCTTAAGATGTGGAGATATATATATATATATCCTTCATGGAGCTCCGATCACTGGAGGGACGACAATATGGCAACAAAGAACCCCCGAAGTGCATTTCATGTGTTGAAAGCTATTTGAATTGGGACAGGGAAGTGAAGTCCAACTGAGAGGATTATTCCAAGGTGCAGAGTACATTTTAAATGTGATGTGAAAAACAGACTTGAAAACAAAGGAAACAAGAGAGACTTGAGGCCACAAAGCCAAGTTGAATAATCCGGCTGACGTGATCGCTTCGCTAGAACTGAACGGTAACCCTGCTGTGTTTGACTCGAACTTGGAATTACAATATAAATCAATTACTGGATTTGAAGTCTGTAGAAATTATATCTAATTCCCTTTGACATCTGCTTTTCTTGATTCCCTAAAATAGACTGCAGAAATGGAATAAGTACAAATGCTTACAGCAAAAAAAAAAAATCCACTGTAGTTTGCTTGAACTGATGAGGACATTTACAGGAGACAAACATTGCTGTGTGGATCGGCCAAGTGCATGTGTCATGACCATGACGTCTCACAGGGGCACTGAGGAAATGTTTAGAGTGTAAACTAGAGTTTCCCCTGAATTCCAGACTGGAGGAAACTGAAGAGAAAGTTTGGAGGGGGGTGGACACAACAAAATGCTTAGTACCGCAAGAATTATTTGGAAAAATAACAAAGCAACAATTACACATGCCACACATCAATTATGTGTAACTGTTACAGCTGTAGAGTGGAAAGACTCACTCCCGCCTGTGCTCTGCTTCTTCTCCAGAGGAGCATTTTCTCTACCGGGGTAGGTAAGGCCGACATCGTATACACAATAAATCAAGCCAATGTAATCACTGTTTCATGTACCCTCTTGTCACCTAAGAAAAGTTATAAACAAAGAATATTAATGTCCTCCGATCCTATGATGGTTAACACATCGGACCTGGCTTATGTGATACTTCATCTCTCAGCGATGGAAAGAAATTCGACGAACTTCCATGAGCAAACTGTATGAAATGTAAGATTTAAAAAAAAAAACAATAAAATAATCCATCTTTGTGGCTTGTGACTGAGGCTAAAAAAAAAAGCCCTCGAAAGCTTAAAGATTTGCTGTTTGCTAACAGCTGCATCAGGTATCCTTTCCCCAGAGGGTCTGTCTCACAAAGCAGGATTAGCAAGTTAGTTGGATAACTGCTAAGTAAAACCCGGGAGGCTCTAAAATCTGCAGCATGGACTCAAATAATAAGCTCTTATGGGTTATAGTCGGTGCAGCCGTCCAGCTTCCTCGGTAATCCTGTTTTTGACACAAGCAACAGACAGAAAATTCTCTGGACACAGAAGATGAAGGTTCATGTTTTCTGCAGCAGCAACTGAGGTTTGGTAAAAAAACTAAACAAAACAAAAAACACTCTAAGGAACATAGCCATCAGTGTAAACCATCAAAGGAAATACAGCCACCGAACAGGAACAAAAACAAAAAAAAAAAACTTGGAAAGAAAAGCCATACTAGTGGCAGTGCTGATAATAAACTGATGTCTATGCAAAGGTGTTGCCAGAATGGGACAAACTGTGCACAACTTTGGGTTTTTATCAAACACTTTTCTGGCTTTTTAGCAAAAGCCTTTATGTTGCAATCACAGTAATTTGTGATTTAAGTGCAACTTCTGGAACAAAATAACCCACCACAGCTTTTCACATCTTACCATGAGCCAAGAAAATTAAACCTTACGGCCCGTAAAACTACAAATAAAAGCCTGAAAGTGCAGAATCCTGGTTGAGCAGGCCTTTAAAATCCAAACATGAGAAGCTCCATGTAAGAAGATAACTCAAGAGAAGAGAGAGAGTGAGGGGATGCCTGCGGACAGATATGGGTAGAGCCAGCTGAGGCCCTGGTACTTGTCTAGTACAGTGACATACACTCTCTTGGTCTCTGGTATCTGCTCTGGTGCTGTTTCACAATAAGATAAATGCTCCGAGGATGAGTGTTGACTTGTTACACACAGCGGCATGCCATGACCAAAACGGGCTTGTTTTGCTGTCTGGTGAAAATTGCGTTATCAAATTTACCTAAAAAAATACTTACATAAACTAAATCCATGGTGATGATGAGAGTTTAAACATCTTTACTAAAAGCTAATACGATCTCTGTATTCACCACATGAAAGAACCGCCTCCGCCACGTGCGCTGTAATCTTGTAGTGGTATGCAGACTGATGCCCATCTAACAAAAACTTTTATATAAATACTTCTTAAGACAGTGAATAAGAAAACAGTTTGCTGCAGTTAGAAAATGCTTTGAGGTGTGCAGCACACCGAGGCTCCACAGAGCACCTAATGAATGCCATAAACCTATATTTTCCTTTTGGCAACTGAATCTTGCCAACTTAAAGCACACTTGGTTGCCTTTGAACAAGATCCCAGCCGTGCCAAGGCATAATAGCGCTGGTATGTGACTGCATTTTGGAGGAAGAAAAAAAAAAAAAAAAGAAGCACATCATCCTACCAAGTTCCAGGCATTATTTGAAACGTCTGGTGCCACGATAAAAACTTTCAGGGCTGATGGGTGCTCATCCGCTCACACTGTGCAGGTGAACTGAGATGCACCCAGGAAACATTATCTTGGCTCTTAGCTGAAACAGTTTTTCTTCTTTAAATAAACATTGTGGGAAGCAACCGTGGCTGCAGCCAATAACCATAAACCAACATCATTATGTTAAGAGTGTGTTTGAGATTTGAAGATCAAACGGGATGTCACTGTGCGCTTGAACCGCGGCCAGCCGTTTGTCAAGTGATGCAAAAATGAAACATTTCAAAGTCCACTTTTGGAAGACTTCTCAGAGGAGATATCCAACAATCTGTCAGTTCTTCAGCCCTCAATATTTTTTCCTCTTAAGAGCACAGACAGAAATAGATTCGCTGTAAAGCAAAATCATTGACAAAATGTTTGAAATTTGTTCCCTAAATAAGTTCCATGAAGACACGACAATATGAGCAAAGTGGTGTTTTTTAGCATTTATCAGCTGTCCAAGACAAAACTGAATAATTCCAAAGAGGAAAAAGGAACGCTGTACGGAGCAGTGTGGGTGTCGGAGTGGCACGTCTGCAGCTCTTGTTTTAATTAGATGATTCAACTTTCTGGAAGACTTACTTTCAGTCATGACTTACTTTCAGTCATTTGTTAAACTTTGTTGCTACACACTGTTCTTCACATACTTCCAATTTGTACTTTTGAGTGTTTTTTGAATTCCGACTGGCTCTTTAAAGTCAGAAGTTGCTCATCTTTTTTCATTATGCCTGCGAGGCAGCCCCATGCAATGAAGACAGATTAGGTTCTAACAACTTAATCCGCAGCCTCTGACAGGAGTTTTGCTGCGAGGCAACGCTGTGTCCACTGTGTCTGCAAACTGTCATAATTAAAGCCAGTGTCGGAGCAGAACAGGTCAATCTGGAAGCTTCATGGATATTTAGATCGTTATGATCCTTTCCGTTGCCAAAGAATGATAAAGAGGAAGATCCACTGTGGCCTGTCTGTCCTGAGAAATCACCTCATTTTACCAACTTGATACATTATTTTTATAATAACTCAAAAAGGTCTGGATGTGGTTCAGTATCTGCTTGTAAAAAAAAAAGCAGCAATTTGACAACTCATATTAACAAAATAATAAGTAAATCACATGCATGGTATAAAAGGAACACAAGGGGATGTTTAATGGCTCACTGACTTTAGTTTTAAAGTTATTATTAGCCCCAGGCAATAAGATTTTATGTGCTTAATGAGGCTGAACTGTGCTCAGTGTCAAATCTAAATTACTCTTCTGTTTCATTATCCTTTCTATTTTAACAGAATGATTACTATAAATAATTCACAAGTCCAGTTTTGCATCATTTGGCTCACTGGACTCCAGCTCCACACAGTTACAATCCCCCCCCTTCCATCCTCACTGTGACACAATCTGAGCAGCATCTATGCGCATAAATCATCTCTGCTGTACCTGTAACACGTCGTAACCTCTCCGGTGGACTTCACGCAGGGGTACTTTGTGGTAGAAATGTTATTTTCAGAGCACTTCTCTCTGTGAAAGAAGCAAAGTGAGCATTGTTTTTTTTTTATGTTACATCTAATGCGAGGAGTCCTCCTGTCATCTGGTGTGAACATGTCCTGAAGTTACCCGTCACTGGCATCCTCCTCTTGGTAGGACCAAAGCAAAGCTCCTGAGAAGCACATGCAGGTGACGGTGAGCAGCAGTGGAGTCCTGTTGTGGTTCAGCAGCATCTCCTCGGTCCAGTCACCTGGCTCCTGTCGATAGTCCACACTTTAATGATTATCTGCGCGCCGCTGCAACTTCGGTGCGTAAAAGTGGCGGAGCGCACAGACGCACAGACCCTCCCACTCCCACACAGTTTATGAGTAACTATGAGACGTTTATTCTTGTGGTGTCACTCCGCAAACTATCTAAACTTCCCCTCCTCTGTACTTCAGGCAAGTTAAGGCAAGAAAAAACCGAGAGAGCTGGAATAAACTTTTTAATCATTAAGAATGGAAGTTTTATGAGTTTTCCCAAAGCACACATGTAGGTTTCGGTTTGAGGGTCTTTCTCCTGTGAGATGTTGAAAATTAACTGGAAGTGACTTAAACATTACACACCGCTCGCTCATAGCACACGTGCACGCGCACACGCACCAACACGCGCGTCTTGTAGCAGAACTCGCTGTTTGCGTCGTGATCTCTGCTGCCACCGCGCGGCTGTCAGTGGCATGACACCTACTTAGTGGTAATAGTCAGAAGTAAGTACACCCATGTGCAGTATCAATGCAGTGTCAAATATTTCAAATTTGTACCACCTTAGAGTAATCACATTACTTCTAAGTTGAATGGCACACATTTGTACTTATGTAAAATTAAAAACTAAAACTTTGGATTCACTATATGAAAAATATGGGATTCACATAATGTACAGCTGTCATTACTGAGGTTCAGCTCATTTATTTTTTGTCAATAGTTCACGTGTCTACCTTTATTTAGCAACTGACTCTATCCTCCTTTGCATGGATAAAATTTCTAGAGAGATGTTCTGCTATTCTACAGACATTTTTTCCCCAGCTGCTCTTTGCTGGATGGTTTGTGTTGCTCTACATTTCTTTCGAAAATGTGTTCTATTGGATGCAAGTCAGACGACACATACAGTACAACTTGTCCATGTCGTAGATTTAACTGTTTTTGTCTTTAGAAAATCTTGTCTGAGTTTGACTGTGTGCTTTGGATTGTTCTTACTTATGGAGTCGTCCTCTTCTTCCAAGCTTCTGAAGACTGGGAGTCATCTTTCCAGCCAGTATTTTGGTATAGCCACAGGAACTCATGGTGCCATCACTATATGTCATCCTCCCTTTTGCTCCCGAGCAGCCCCATATCATTAAACTTCAACCTCTGTGCTTCACTGTTAGGACTATGCATTCACTGTAGTGGTCCTGTGCAGGGCCCTTCTTAACCGAGCTAATTTATCTTGGTGCAAACTGGTCAAAGAAGAAGCTTCTGATGGTCACTAGGCTTTGTTTCATGTTCTAAATCTAATCTAGCAGTTTTGTGCCCTAGAGTGAAGAATCCTTTGTACCTTTGAGCCATTACAGAAACTCTCCTTTCCATTGGTGACCCTCCATGCAGTCTAAGGCACTTTTTTCAGAGTTAAACTACACTAGTACTGCACTGTCTGCGGTGTTATTTAAGCAAAACAGCCATTACATCTCTGATTAGTGGTACAACGACTTGCTGTATATCTTCTGTTTACTGCATTGCAAAATGTGTTTCAACTGATTTTTACTTGGTTACTGACTTCCTGCATATTTGTCCATCTTCGTAAAGCCTCATAATCAGATTTTCCAATTAATTTGGCAAGTCTTCTCCGAGGTGCAATGGTGAGCGCTGTCACCTCACAGCAAGACGGTTCTGGGGTTTGGACCTGCCAGTCGGCTGGAACCTCAAAGTGTGGAGTTTGCATGTTCTCTTCTTGCCTACATGGGTTTTCTCCGAGTGCTGAGGTTTCTTGCCACAGTCCATTGACATGCACGGTAGACTGGCGATTCTAAATTGGCCCTGAGTGTGAACATACATGGCTGTGTGTGTCTTTTTGTTGGCCCTGTAAAGGACCTGGTGTAACTTTTACATAAAGTCAGCTTTGGGCTCCAGCTCCAGACAAACCTCTACAGGATGAATCAGTGAATAAATTAGCTGAAGCAAGCAAACCTTACAAAGTATTAAAAGATAACCTTGTTTGCACCTGATATCAGCCAGCGATGTCAGATCAGGAGAACAAACCCGACAGAGAACTTTTTTCTGTTTGGCAAAATGTCTGCAAGTTGGATTATTTAGTCAAATGAGTTAGCAGCCTTCGCTTTGATCTTAACTCAGACTACTGTCTCCAACACGTTCCTTGCGACTCATTACGCTACGCTTGCAGAAACTAAGGGCCAACTTTTTAACTAAGAATCTCTCAATTGTGTGATAGTGTGATGCAAATTACTCTCTTAATTTACTGTGTCAGAACACCGGGGATTCGTATCAGCTAAGTCATCACAAACAAAGCTGAGTAGCATGTTGAAAGAGAATAGCAGAGTTTGTGAATTAACTGAGCATCCAGAACAAAAATCAACTAAAACCCTGCAGGATAAACATGGTCTATTTATAGCCTGGATCTTAGTGGCACAATATGTGTTTCATTATATCGCGTCCAAACATAGCTGATTATGGAGCCAACTTGTGAATTAAAACACTGCTCATTAGCAACTGCGTCTTACTGCTGCCTGCTAGAAAACTCATTCCAACAGATCATTGTAAATGACTATGAATAAATAACAGTTCTATTCAGATTTTTTTTGCATTAAACATGCACAACCTAATGATCAGCAGGAGCCAAGTTGCAGCTTTTATTCTCCGCTAACCCAAACTGACCTCGCCAGCTTGCTCATTCTTGGGTTAAGTGATCTAAGAGGGTGGATGAATGAGAAACCCGACACCAATATACCGCTGACTTTAGCTCTGATTGACCTTGACCTCGGCGTGACCTCCATCGGCAGGGCCGAGCTGAGCACGAACGCTGCTCTCTGGCACCTGCAGAAGTCAAGAGTTCTTCAGTTTCTGAGGAATGCAGTGTGGCATTACATGGAGTTGGATAGCAGAGCCACTGAGGAGTCTGTAAAGGATATCCCGGTGAAACACGAGGCCCGCGGTGTCGCTTACAGCCACTATGGCAGCTCTTCTATCTGTGAGGTCACTCAGGTATGATTTAACTTTATTCAGGACATTAGTGACGTACCATTAATCAGAACGCCCATTCAGGAGAAACTTAATAAAACATTTCCTATTACTGTGACGTTTTTGTACTGAAGGCTGGGAATTGCACCTCTTCCACTGTCATTTAGCAGAAAATGACACCTTCAGCCTGCCTCAAAAGGCCCGCTCAGGCGTGACCATTTCAGTTCAAGGGAAAGCTGTGTTTCGCTGGTCGGCTGGCTTCATTACAACAGAGCCTCTACGCTTCAGCAACAGTCTGAAGGTGCAGTTCAGCTCCTGGCCACTTGATGGCCCTTTCAACCAAGAGATCTCACCCCCGCCCCCCCTTTCGCCACTATCGTCATCATTGCCCACAAAATGGATGACAGCTTTTAGAAATACCAGGGTGCGTCACGACTCTGAGGTGCACATGCTGTGCCATTTATGTTCCACCTGTTTTGATGCATCAGCAGCCCGCGAGGCAGAGAGAGATCATGCCTGCAACAGCACAAGCAGCCAATTAATATTGCAGGCTGATAGTGTATCAAAGCTACAGGCCTAATAATCACCCTCACAACATCCTCTGCCTTAAAGATATGACATAAATATCTGTGACTCGTTAGTCGTCATCAATTTCTAGAAAACAACACAGAAGAACAAAGACAGCATGTTGACGCTTTACTCTGTTTTTACCTGTAACTAGTCAGTTCAGCAGTAAAAAGTTCTCTATTGTTCCTTTTTAACATATTTTTGCAATGTGGTCTCAGTTTCTGGGAACTAGTTAAAGCCTGTTTCCTATTACTGTTGCTGTCCGTGCTTTAACGGCTGTTTGCACGTGTGTCAATCTGGCTGTCAAACTCAGAAATGACAGATTGGATTAGGTCATAGAGTTTCTCCACTGTCTATTCTCACTGCTTAACTCATTCTGTTGATCAGAGCAGGGTGTTTCCAGACCTACAAAGAGCATTGTTTTCTCACATAAAGGTGTCACATCAAGCAGAAAATTCTTCATCTATCTTTATTGCATGAACAGAGGAACACGTGACGACAACGAGAGTGTTGCAGGGAATGAGCTCCCCACTGTCAAAACTCCTCTCTCTCTGTCTTTCTCTCTCTTCACAGTGCAGCACTGCAGTGCCTCTCTGCACATGCCCAGACAGACTGGGAGAGAGCCACAGCAAGTTTGAGCTCACTAGAAATATTAACAGCCTGCATCACAGACACATTCATGTACTCCTGCGAGCTGTGTTCTCAGCAGGAACAAAAGTCGTACTTCGGGCGAATGGAAAGCGACTCTTTCGTGTTTTTCGAAAGGCTAAAATGTTATTGACGTGGACACGCCTCCACCGTTTCAAGAATCAAACCTGTGACTCTCTCTTCAGAAGGTTTGCTTTTGTCTCAAGGTCACTCCGCCTCCCACAAGCTTTTTACGCAAACTGCTCGGTGGAGAATGAACACATTATCGATGAAGCTTTAATATACCGCATCACGCTTGTCGCCTCTGTTTAGTCAATAATAACAGGCTTTTTTGTTTTTTTTTTTAATTACAGTGATTTATTTTTTATTACCATCATTACTGCAGTGCTTTAGCTTAATGGTGTATTTAACTCTCTCTATAGTTCCAAACTGTGGAAGTTAATTATCTTTTTACCAGTTTGGGTCTCAGAATGCTTCCTTTTTATGTATAATTGACACAACAACAAGGCCGCTGTGCCTGCCATGACAATAATGTTTCAGATCACATTTGAATTATAAATGTGCTCTGAGAATATATGGAGCTGGTAGTCCAATTTTCAAACAGTCTGGCAGCTTTGTAAATCTAATGGCCAGGTTTTCCATTTGGGGAAATCTTGATGGCTGCATGTTGCTCTTGCTATTCTATTCAACCACTTTCTCTTTTCAATAGACCATTATTTATTTTCCTTTTTTTTTTTTAACAGTAGCTGGAACAAAAATAGTCCAGCGGTGCAATCAAAGAGCACACAGGCTCTGATTCATACCCCACCAAAAGACAAAATAATAACTGATGAAAAGGTAAAAATAAAGGAGACGCATTGTTGTTGTGGAAAATTGAAAAAAAAAGAAAACAAAGTCAGTGACCAAAGAAAGATGTATTTTCTTTTTGGGATA